GTGGATGTTCCCTGAAACCAAATGTGTGCACTGCATTGGCTACAGCCACAACTACTGCTTGCCCTGGTTCCTAGTTATTGGACCTGGAGATGCCCCTGAGGACCCCAACAGGTCTTGCAGGCTCAGTGGATGCCCACAGCACTCACCAAGGACTATGCAGTAGATGCTGTGCACCCGGGGTGTTCTACCAAACATTTAAAAAAGAATCATTTCTTCTCAAACTATTCAAAAAAAATTGAAGAGGGAGAAATACGCCCAAACTTGTTTTATAAGGTCGGCATTACCCTGGTATCCAAACCATATAAGAACATTATAAGAAGAGAAAACTACAAGCCAGTATCCCTGCTGAACATAGGTGCAAGATGAGAAAAAATATTTGCAACACTTACAGAGAATTATGGACTCACTTCCATTATTCTTTAAAAAACACCAATAAAACACAGGGCATAGATCACCCACAAGCAAAAATGGGCAAAAAAACTTGAAAAGATTTTCATAACAACAGGATATTCAAGTAACTAGTGCATATGTGTAAAAGTGGTCATTCTCATATATAATTAGAAAAAGAAATGTGAATTTTAACCACCAAGAGATATAAGCCTTTAGATTGGCAAAATTTAGCATATTCTCACATCACCAAATATCAAAAAGACTGTGAAGCAACAGCAGCAATGAGCCATCGTGGGTGAAAGTGGACAACTATTTTGAGAAACAGTTTAGCATTATGTAATAAAATAGAAGATAAGCATCCCCTAGGAATAAGAAAATCTATTCTTAGGTCTCTATGCTATAGAAATTAGTGAAGGGCGTGTGATTATATTCACCAGGGTACATGAAAAGAATGTTCATTGTAGCTGTTTTCATTAAAGCCCCAAACAACAAGAAATGCATCAAATATTCATCCAGTAGAAAATGGATCGTTATCGTCATAATTAAAATGAATGGTCTACGTAAGTACATGTGACAACAAATTAAATCTCCCAAACATAATGTTGTGTAAAAGAAGAAAGTCTTTTATGTAATTATAATTAAATCCAGAATACGTACACACATATTCTAAATTTAATTATAATTTTCCTGACTTTTGTTATCATTGAACACTTTTATATTTGGAACACATATTTTTAAAGTTTTATTTTTAACTTTATTATTAATATTTTTGCTGTTGACTATATATTCAGAATAGTGGTAAACATGGGAGGAAGCACAGCTGATACAAAGACACAAGGTGGAAAAAATAAGGCATGTACCTAATCATGTGAAATTATTTTAGCAATTTCCAAATTTGAATTTATTATTTACTAAATAAGTCACCTTAATATATACTGGAGGTCCTCAATGTACAAGTATAATTGGTACCAGAAAAAGGCCACTTATATAAATTAATCTGAGAGAAGAACCAACATTTCATAGAAAATAGTGAGGGGGGAAGCTACGTAGGCTTTATCATGAAAAATAAAGAAAAATATTTTGAAAAATAGATGTATCATATAATTAAAATTTAAAGGGTAATTGTGTGTGTGCCATAATTCACGGATTGGGAAAAGAATCAAGTATTGTGATTTGGGGGGAGCCATTATTTTTCAACAAAATTTTGTAATAGCACAAAAGCACAACTGTACCTCCTGTTGAGTTTTGTAACATTGTCATCTAACATCATTTAAAAGAGGATACAGATTTTAGTTCTGCCAAGAGTCTTTCTTAATACCCCATCCTTTAATTCATTCTCCTTTGCTTCAGCTGTCAATCTCCTTAGTGTCCCAGGGAACTTCCCCATATAAGTCATTAACTTGTGCAGCTTTGATGTTCTTTTATTTGTTAGGCACTTTGCTTGTGATTTAAACAATCTCTATTACTTTCATGGCCCTCACAAAATCCTAAATGTTTTTAAAGCAATTTTAATTTGCACAGTACATTATCTTTACACTATATTATCAACTTTTACCATCTAACAGCTGGTAAAAAAGCAGCGTACTGAGTCCTTGATATCACGGCACAGATAGAAGCTAATCCCTCCCCAGGTGGGAAGGGAAGATGCCTGTAAGCCAATTTTATTAGTGTCAGTTCATCAGTGAATAACTTTGCTTTCTTGCTTTTAACATTTATTGTTCTCTCATACAACCTCCTATCTGCCGTGGTTTTGTGAATAAAAGATTGGAGAATGAGGACCTTCTGTGTAATATATTAAAGATGCTTTAACACAGTTCTTGTGCTCACACAGTTCTAATGTTATGTAGGCAAGACACACGTCATTATTTCCACTTCATATGGAACTTGAAATCACTCCAGGGTTTGTTCTAAGTCACAGAATTGTTGAATAATACAACCAAGACTTTCCCCAGTGTTTCTGTGCCAAAGTCCTGTTTGATGTATTATGCTGCCTCCTAGTGGTACCAACTTATATCCGCAAGCATCTGTACATGAACATGCATTGTTTTTCTTTCTTGTGGATTTGGGAGATGAAAATCTATTTACCTATCCATCATTAAAGTAATTTTTTCTGTATATCAGACATGCTCTTTTACAATACTCACATATTTCTAAATTTGTATAATTTTATGCTTTGGACATGTAGGGAGGAGTTAATTATATGAAAAGTTAACACTTACAAAGTGTTTAGTTTATCCCAGGCATTTTGCTACATATCCTAAAAAGTTATGGAAGTATTATTACTATCCCCACTTCAGTGGTAAAATACATGGATCTCAGAGATTCTGTGTAACTTGCCAATGTTACACAGCTGATAACGGCCAAGCCAAGGCTCATGTTTTCCTGTTAGTCTCTAAAACCCATCTTGTAATCAGTTACATTTCCTATTATAGTTTTTTCCTAATTAAAATTTTTGTTGAGGCTCTATTCTTTCCGTCTGTCTACTACTTCTCTAATGTAATATCTTCTGACTGAGCACAAGCACAGACCTTGGACATCAGTTCTTGTTCAGGTGCTAATTTGCGTAAGCACAACAAATAAGCACACCATGATCAGTAAATGTACCATTTTTTCACAAAAGGTAACCGAAGAGCCTCTTCAGAAATATTTATTGATTTTGTCACTCTACTCCTGACAAAGAGATTGTCACGATGGTGAAAAATTCTCTAAATGCTTCATTGCCCAAATCCCAACCACACCTAGAGCTGCTACCCAATATGCTAACCATCAATCACACATGACTTAAATTTTAATTGATTATAATAAGTTAAAAGAACTGAGACTTCGCCAAGATGGAGAAGTAGGTGGAGGGTCCACCTTGCCTCTGTGCACAACCAAATCTAAGAACAACTATTTTTAACAGCAGTCACAACCAAGCCACACGGAAAATCGACAATACGGAGTCCAAAGGACAACTAGATACTCGGCTGGACCGGTACGAGGAGCGAGGCCAGCAGCGGAGCAGGTTAGCAAGAAAAAATTCCCGGGGCAGTGCACGGGGCGCGCAGGCAACCGAGGGCTGATCGCCAGCGAGCTGGCTGCTGGAGCGCACACGGAATAGGCGCGGTGGGTCACTCAGTCGCGGGCATTTACGTGCGGAGAAACCAGTGAGAAGGGAAACCCACGAGGTGCAGCAGGCTCGCAAAATTAGGATGGGATAAGCAAGCCTGAGGCGTTTGAGTGTATGGATGCGCTGGGCTAGCGGAGAGGAACGCCATCGCTCCCTCTCTGACCCCGCCCCCACACACAGCGTCACAAACCAGCGACCTGGGTCGCCCCGTCCTGGTAAACAACTAAGGCTTCGCTCCGATCACTAAACAGCACGAATAAACCAAAAATGGCTCTAGAACAACTCAGAGCCCCAGAACCGATAGACCTAAGTGATGAAGAAATAGCCAGTCTTTCAGATGCACAGTTCAAAACACTGGTTATAAAGATCCTTACAGAACTGGTGGATTTTAGTCACAAATTAGAGAAACATATGGAAGCTAAATTAATTGGAATGAATGCTGATACAAAAGATACCAATAGTGATGGAAAGAAAATTGGGACTCAAATCAAGGGAGAACACCAGACAGAAGAAAAAGATGATCAAGCAGAAAGGAATGAAGAAATAAGAATTCAGAAAAATGAGGAGAGGCTTGGGAAACTCCAGGACATCTTTAAACGTTCCAACATCCGAATTATAGGGGTACCAGAAGGGGGAAAGGCACAACCACCAGTTGAAAAATTATTTGAACAAATAATAAAGGAGAATTTCCCCAAGATGGCAAAGGAAATAGACTTCCGAGAGATCCAGGAAGCTCGGAGAGTCCCGAGGAAGTTGGACCCGGGAAGGAACACACCAAGGCACATCATAATTACATTAGCCAAGATTAAAATGAAGGAGAGAATCCTAGAAGCAGCAAGAGCTAAGGGGACAGTCACCTACAAAGGAGTTCCCATCAGACTGTCAGCTGATTTCTCAAAAGAGACCTTACAGGCAAGAAGGGGCTGGACAGAGGTATTCCAAGTCATGAAAACCAAAGATCTACAACCAAGATTGCTCTACCCAGCAAAACTTTCATTTAGAATGGAAGGACAGATAAAGTGCTTCTCAGATAAGGTCAAATTCAAGGAGTTCATCATCACCAAGCCCTTACTATATGAAATGTTAAAGGGACTTACCTAAGAAAAAGAAGATAAAAAAGATGAACAGTGAAAGGACAGCAAACTCACAGTTATTAAGAACCACACCTAAAACAAAAGCAAACTAAGAGGATAGCTAGATCAGGAGCAGAACCATAGAAATGAAGATCACAGGGAGGGTTAGCAACAGGGGAGTGGGAGGAGGGGAAGGGGGGAGAAGGTACAGAAAATAAGTAGTATAGACAGTAGATAGAAAATAGATAGGGGGGAGGGTAAGAATAGTAGGGGAAATACAGAATCTAAAGAATTTGAGACACATGTTCATGAACTAAAGGGGGAAATGGTGGGGGAGGGGTATGCAGGGTGGAGGGGAAGGGAGGGGGGAATAGAGCAAATGTAATGGCATAATCAATAAAAAATTTAAAAAAAAAAAAGAACTAAGCACATTCCAGGTGCTCAACAGCCACACATGGCTAATGGCTATAATTTCCGGTCTGCCGACATAGAATAATTTCATCATTTCTTAAATTGATCCAACAGTGCTAGCCTAGAATAAAGATAACAGTTGTCTTCTAGATGTTGAACAAAAGGAATTCTTTTTTTTTTCAAACAATGAACCATATACAACTCAAAACATTTTTAGGCAGTTATGAACAATAGCTGTCTTCGGTGTGTGTGTTTGCAAGCTGCGTACAGGTTGTAATCCAAGTGAAGCAATACTGGATTAAAGAGAACCTGAATGCAGAGGAGCAATGGTGGAAGTATCTTCATTTTTTAGTCTTTTGCTGAGATTATATAGGTACCTTTAAAGCAAATAACAGCATATGTCTAAAAATAACAGAAAATTCCAGTGAAAAGTAATTTTTTCTAGCCTCTTGTTAAAATGCACTGCAATAGATATGACCAATGGAAAGACCAGAATGGTAGCACAAATTAAATTTTAAAATAAATGTGTCAGAATATAAAAGACATTTCTACAACTATAGCAACTGAAGGAACAGAATTAGACAAATTCCCTAACAACCAATAGGAGTTTTCTCAGCTGAGCCATGACAGTAGAGAGCTGAGATGGGACTAAAATGTAGCTTTTGAACACTTCTAGTAACAGCCAACCCTTAAAATGAACATAGAGAACTGAAGGTTAAACTGCACAGGTGAAAAACGTCACCCTAATTTAGAAAATGATTTCAAAAACGGTGCATGAGGCCAGTGAGAGCCCCTACTTGACATGAGGATTCCATCAACTTTTGCACACTGGCTGCACCGCGACTCTAGAGAGAGAATAAATTGTCCTTGAATGCTCCCAGCTGAAGGTGGGAGATAGCCCCTTCATCTAGAGAGCCAGAAAGCAGAGTTCAGCAAAAGGCCCCTTTGCATCACTATTGATTTGGTCCCAAAAAACGCCATTCTTAGAGTCCTGCCAACAGTGGTGACACAGGTTTGGGCCCATCTACCCTGCCTGTCTCCTTCTCTGGAGCGAAAACACACTTCATGGTCTTCTAATGGCCTCAGGAAGCCTCTTAGATTTACTCACGGAGAAGAGTAGCAGCATTTGTCCACTTGCCAAGTCCTAGAAGTTGTAATATCACTGTATGACCGAACTGCTCTCCAGCTTTATATGAGACACAGGTATTCTAAAAGTTGCAGACTCTTTAATGAAGATGTCCAGAAAACTGAGGGGTATCCTTCCAGATTTAATGGTATCTTGTTTCATAGCAGGAGGTACCTTCATTTAAGAATGAAGAAAGAGAAAGACATGCATTTGTTGAACACATTCCTTTGGGTAGAAGAAAAATAATGTTTCATGAAGAAAGACAAAGAAAAAAACATATATATATATATATGTCAGAAAATGTTTACTTCAGTTAACTCTCTAAACTTGAAAATATATTAAACACAAAGTGTTCAGATAAGATAAAGAGAACAGCAAAAAATTTAATGATAATTCATAGTGGATTGAGTATTCTTTCGCATATTAAATGTTCTAAAACTTAAACATTTTTTTCAGTGTGAATCTGACATAAGAGACAAATAAATGAAACAAAATAAGTAATCTCTAAATATATATTTTATGCAAAAGTATTAAATCTGTTTTAAAGATGGCAAAACAAATCAATGGGAAATAAACACATTATTCAATAAACATGTCGAGCCAAATGGTGACAATTTTCTAAAAAATATATTGCATTTTATACTACACACCAAAATAAAGTCTCAATGAAGGCAATACATATGTGTTCATAACTCTACAGGGAACTTTCTAAGAATACCAATACTGTGTCCTTATAAGCAAAAAAAATATTGAAAATTGTATAATGGGGAAATGGCTTATTTAACCTCAATATATTTAACTCTATAGATAAAAATAACTAAACTTTAAAATAAAATAATAAATATTGAAATATTTTCAGTGACTATTGCAAATAATTAATACACCCATCATATAAAGAACTTACACGGGCTACGAAGAGACTCTGGCTGTGGTAGCAGCTACCTATCATTTGCTAAAACTCCTTTCAGCCAATCCGAATGCCCAAGCAATAGTGCTTTTGTTTATCGCTGCTCCATGATAGTCCTTGCAGAGGTTTATGCTCGGTTGAAAGGAACTTTTTCTTAGTTACAAAAGGATTTTTCTTTAATCTCACTGTTGTGTTCTTCCACATTAGCATTATCCTTCTACACAACAAAACAAGATTTCTAAATAACACTCACAAATTGAATAGGAAAAAACATCAATACCTCAACAGATTTATGGGAAAGAACATCAGGAAATTACTGTAAAACAGGAAATATAAATAATAATTCAATATGTAAGACTTTATTCAACCTAATAGACTAATAATCAAAGACACTAAAATTATAAGCTAACAAATTAGGTTTTGTTTCTCCTAATAGTTCTGGGTTAATGTATCTATATGTTCCAGAAATTGTGGCTTTAATTCTAGTAAATGATAAAATTAAATTATGTAGATTGAGATGCTAATAAATTTTGTATAAAACTCTTTATTCTCTTTATCCTTCATAATGCCTGGATTTGTGATATGTGCTTGAACTCAGCTGTAAATTTATATAATGATTTTACTTTATAATTTTACTATAATTAAGACCAAACATCTGGAACTCCCAATAGTCTTCAGTTTTATCAAATGGACATACACTTACTCCTCTCTATATGTCAACTGTGAAATAATTGTCACAATTCAGCAACATTTTCACAGGAAACTTATGTATACATAAAATATGTATTTGAAATTCTCCTCATGCAATTTAAGTTCTGAAGATGTAAAAAACCACGTTTACAAAATATTAAAATAATATTAACTTTCCACTAATTTGACATTAATTTCATAACTAGATTAAAAATACAAGCTGTCTTACATACAAAAGATTAAAAATCAGGGTTAAACTAAACACATTTTGATATCACTAGTTTTCTAGATTCTGCTTTTAGGATAACATAACTCATTAATATTTAACATAACATAAATATTTCTGATTATTAAGTAGCATCAGTGTATCAGATTTATGTTCACCTAGTTAATGTACCATACAAATATTAGCTAATTTATCCTTTTGTCAAGGTAACCAAGGTAGAATATGCAATATGCAAGACATTCAAAGCAATCAGCAGGGAAGTCAACAATGGCCACACCAGTAATTTCTGGGCCATGAGAGACTGAAGTCGCACCTATCAGTGTGGGGGCAGAATACACTGTTCTTGACTGTGGACCCCAGAGCAAAGAGAGGCATCTGGGTTGGGTAGCTTTGCAGCAGTTTGCTTCTGAGTGCTATTTGCATCAACAGCTCCTACTGACTGCAGAGCATTTGCGTGACTATACTCATCACTTTGATGTGGGAAGTTTTTTAGAAGGTGGAGATGGTGCTTTTTGCTCTGGCTTTCTCAAAGATTAATTCTCTGAGGCTGTGGAGGAGCTCTATAAATTCACAATCTCTTCTCACTATACATATTCCATAGAACGTCACGCTAAGTGAAGTGAGTCATAGAAAAAGTCAAGAACAATATAACTTCACTCATATGTGGGATATAAAACTGAAAACAAGACAAACAAATAAAAACTCATAGACCCAGACAACAATATGGTGGTTACCCAGGGGAAAAGGGAGTAAGGGGTTAGTAAAGGGTAAAGGTGGTCAAATATATGTTGACAGGAGATGTGACTTTGTGTGGTAACCACACAATGCAATATACAAATGACGTAGCATACAATTGTACACATGAAACCTATGTAATTTTATTAACCAGTGCCACCTCAATTAATAATAAAACCTGGTCTCCTTTGGGTGTAGCCAGTTTCTTGTGGGTACTCTGAGACTCTAGAATTGGAGGTGATGAAAATTACATCTTCTTAGGCTTCTTGGGTGTGGATCTGATGGCAGTTGGAAAGTACATTGAACCACATGAAAGTCATGTGGTTCATGACTTTACCTATTAGAACTATTAAAGGGGCACTTGCAGACAGTTCCTGCTGTTTTCTTGACTTTTCTGGGGAAAAAAACAAAATCACCTTTATTTTCTTTCTCCTTTATAATACATAGGTTCTGTAATATCTGGCAAGACTCCTTGCTAATGTCTATTACATGCTATTATTTTGGTCCCAGATTATAAGGAGGTTCTGTTGAATTGAGAGGTTCCTGAGGTTGATTCCTCAACTACAGGGTGTGTTAACCAAACTCACATTCACTGCATGTAGCAGGAACATGTGAACTACCACTATTAGTATGAGCTTTCTTTTCTTTCTCTCTCTTTTTTTTAACAGTTGCAATAGCTATATCCCCATGAAAAATAAGAATATGCTCTGAATTTGGGGAGAAGGCAGACAGTAAAAGTCAGATATCATTTTTAAATGATTCATTTCAATTTACTAAAGAATGTATTAGTTAACAGTTATAGACAGCTTACAAAGGGCTTCCTTATATCTCAAAAAAAATCAAACATTAAAACAACATCCACAGTAAACACAGTGCAGTGTATCAGTTACTTCATTTATGTTAGCAATTCTTATTCCACTAGGTCTCAGGTTAGTGGTCTCATGAAATTGTCCATTTCTGAAATAAACAGAGTTCCGGAAATCCTGAGCAGCACCCTGGAGCCCTGCCCAAGCAAAGCCACTGAAGTCTGTGCCCAGGAGTCTATTCTTTGGAGCTAGGAAGTTTGAGGTGCCTGATGTTGTCCTTCTTCTATGAAGGTTCTGAGGTGGTCTCTCTTCAATGAAGCACAAACTCTGACCTTTAGTTATAGATGCTTCAATGCTTCAGACAAGCTTCAGAGTAAAAGAAAACTGACTTTAGATAACAACTATACACCCTCCTTCCCCCACCCCCCATTTTAAAATTGAAGTGCAAAGAAGCGGACTAGCTTGCCCAGGGTCACAAATGAAATGAGTCAAGGGTTTCCACCAAGGGGCCTGGTTCTTAAACCGTGGAAGCACTCAGGTGGGGGCCTGTCTGCTGGTGCTCTTAGCAAAACCACTTACCTGGTGAGCAAAGTCAGAGGGCTCCTCCCAGCCCTAAGAGGCAGAAATGTGACAGTCAATCCTCTCCCTCTAGAATTTTGAGGTGTGGCTTTTTGACGCACTTACCTCAAGTAAGCCCCAGGGGAACTCATGGTTTGAAGTTGTCTTGCCAGTTATGACTGGAGGGAATTTAATTCCACCCACCCCTGTGAACTCTGAAAGGCTGAGACAAGACCACTGCTAACCATGTCATACTCTGTGTGCACGTGAGAAAAAGCAGCCCTGGGGAGGGTTGCAGAAGAGGGGGTTGTTTTTATATAACGGTAGTTCATCTGAATAGAAGAATTACAAAGCTGCCCCTTCCCGGCTGAGCCAGTGCTACCACGACCCACCCAAATGCAGGGCTTTTGAGTTTTCTTAAACTGATTACTCCTTTCAGTTTTCTCTATTATAGGTGTAAGGCTCTTTTAATCCAAAATATGATTTTAAAGTACCTTCTTGCACTTCCAACATCCCAATTGGATTATTTGGCTTAGAGATGATGAGATTCTTGACAACTAGCTACAGATCCACTGTGTAGCTGGAAGCATTTAATAACAGCGAACAAACAGGAATATCAACAAGTCCAGTGTACCCTACAGATACACCGCCTGCAGAACAGTAGATTTGTTAGTACCCCCGTAGAATTAATGTCTTTGTCATGTGTTCTTTCCGTTCCGTGATGAAAGTGGAGGACTCTACAGAACAGTCAAGGGAAAAAAACAACTTAAAGGGAGTAATTACGCAAAAGTAACTTTACACTCCGTGCCAAAGTGTGCTTGAGGATTGCAAGCAAACTACAAGAAAGTGTAAATAATGAAGGCTGGCAACAAACAACTGTAAACATACTTTTTGTCCACCCTCGTGTTTGGTCTCAGCGGGAGGAAGTGGTGCACAGAGTACAGGTTTTATTCTCTCAGCAGAGGCGCAGGCAGCAGACATGCAGGGGGATGGGGTGGGAAGGGGCGGTGAGGCGGGGAAGTGAAGGCGGGGACATTCTGTCCTTCCAGGAATTAGCATTCCATCTTCTTACAGTGCAGGGCCGCGCTCTCCTGTGGCTTCTCCTGCCACTGGCCCCTTTCGGTGTCTCAAACTGAGACTGGGAGAGGGGAGGCACTGACAGTTTCAGTACGAGCTCCCCAGCTTCTGCTGAGAGGGGACGGAGTTTCCCAGGAGCTCACCCGCAGCTGCGAGGCTTTACCCACCACCCTCCCCGAACCATTTTCCAGCCTGGAGCTCAGGGCCTGGTCCCACATCCTCCACATCACCACCCAGAAGTGGGGGGTCAGGCTGCCTGCCGCTGGGCAAGGGAGGCAGAGACACTGGCGTTGGATTTGGACGAAACGCAGGTCATTGTAGACTCTGACAGAAGCAGTTTTGATGAAGTGGTGGGGAAAAAAAAGACTTATAAATGACTTCAAGAGAGAACAGCAAGAAAGCGAGGAGGAATATTATAAACACCTTTGTTAAAGAGGATGTGCTGTAAAAGGGGCAGAAAAATGGCTGATAATTGTAGTCATGGCAGTGCAACCCTGATGAAAGCTGTTTCTCTTTAACCCAAAGGGATTCCTTTTCTAGACTGTGCGTTAGGTCAACTGTAGAAGTTAAATCAGTTGGTTTTAAACTATTGATTGGTTTACTCTTTACAGAGAGGTATGCTCTTAGGGAAAAGAGCACAAGACAAGTGAGTCTTTCGTTTTAATTTTAGTGAACTTATTGGTTGTGACATTGGTTAATAAAATGATATAGGTTTCAAGTGTGCAATTCTACATCATCTGTATATTCTGTGTTCTTCATCCAAATTGAAATCTTTTGCTATCACCATTTACCCCCAAGTCTGTCATTTGCTGCCTGTCTTCACCACCCTCTTTTCCCTCTGGTAATCACCGTAGTGTTGTCTGTGTTTAGGAGGGTCGGGTTTTTGTTGTTGTTTTTTGCTTAATCCCTTCACCTGTTTCACCCAGCCCCCCACAAACCCTCTCCCCTCTGACAGATGTCAGTCTGTTCTATGTATCTATGAGTCTGTTTCTTTATCTTTTTAAGATTTTATTTATCTTTAGAGGGGAAGGGAAGGAGAAAGGGAGAGAAATATCAATGTATAGTTGCCTCCAGTGTGTCCTTCACTGGGAACTGGCCTGCAACCCAGGCACGTGCCCTGACTGGGAATCCAACCTCGGTTGTGGTTCGCAGGCCCGCGCTCAATCCAGTGAGCTACACCAGCCAGGGCTCTTTGTTTATTTCGTTCATGAAATTATAAGTGAGTTTGGGTGGACTAGTGATGGAGAAAATCTCGATACATGTGATATTGCTGAAAAGGGTGGGCCATGTAGAGGAGCACAGAGGCAGGACAGGAGCATCAGAGTTCCAAAGCAGGCACTAGAAGCAGGAAAGGAGAACACTGAAGAAACAGCACTGAAGGGCAACAAAAAGTGTGCCACTTCTGCTCATTTTAGCTCAAAGCACACCATGCTGACACTCTTCTCACTATCTTTGCATTTTTCCACCAGATGTCTCTAGCAGTCAGCTCTGCCCACCACAGAGGAAGCCTTACTAAAAAACATGCTAGTGGTTTCTAAGAAAGCCGAAACATGGTTGAAGAGCAGAAGACTGTGGAGAGAGGCATATGGCAATGGTCATGGCCCAGGTTATGAATGAACTGGTGAGGACTTGAATGCACGACTGAAGAGGACTTTGGCCACGTCTCTTACATTTAGATACGCAATGTTGTTAATGTCATTTATTATAAATACTCTGTAGTTACTATTTGAAATTCTTTTCAATTCAAGAATTGTTTAGAAAAGTGATTTCCTTTCTTCCAGGTATTGAGTTTTTGTTTAAAATGTTTAATAATTTATAAAATAATGACAAAACATTTAACCCTGTAATTGTTTTTCTTTAATAAAGGACGTATTTTTTATGTATCTCACAAATATGCCCCATTATTTGTATAATAGCCTGTTAGAGCCTACTGAATCTTTAGTCAAGTGAACCCAGCAAATATAGTGTTGTATGGCAAAGCTTCATTTCTTTATGTTTTACATATATTTTAAAACATTTCTTTAGATAATTCTTAATCTATACTTATGGTACATTAAAGTTCAGGGTTAATTAGTCATTCAAGAAATACTGATTGACCTACAATGCCTGCCCATGTTTACATTTTCTAATGTTTACATTTATCATGTAAATTTTGTTTACATTTTCTAATGATCAGATCAGCAATAAATAATAAAAGGAAGTAAATCCTGTAAAGGGTAATAAATACTAAAGAAGGAAAAACAGTCAGAGAGTGTGAAAAAGGTGAGCAGTGGTTGTGGTGTAGGCTATCAAGTAAGATAGCCAAAGTCAGACATACATAATGAGCAATGGCTTAAAGGGGGTGAGAGAAATAGCCAATAGATGATGAAGGAGATAAATTAGAAAACAGACTATCACAGTGGAAGAGAGAAAGACCCAGAGAGAAGGAAAAGGCCTGTGAAAAACCAAAGTATGGCCCATATGTTCTAGGGACAGCAAGAAGGTGAAAGAGCCTGGAGCTGAGTAAATGAAGACACAGCCAAGATAACAAGATTACAGGCCATTGTAAGGACTTGGGCTTTTCTTCTTTGGGAAATGGGAAGTCATGATGGGTTTAAAGGAAAGCAAGCATGTGATGTGGCTTCATTTTAGTTTCAGGAATCAGTCTGGTTTCTGTGTGGACAAACAACTACAGAGGACAAAATCAGAAGGAGACAGGTTAGGAGCAATTACAGAAACAGAGTTTACTAAATGGAAGGATGTCTACATGTATAACTATACACTAATAGTATAGTTATAATATAGAACAATGTCTATATTTGCTGTTTACTGTCTTCATAAAAATATGAAAATGTCCTTAATGACCAGGCAAATCATATTAATTACCGTGTATATTAATTCATGTTTTGTATAAGCATTGAACCCAAAAAGTTCAATTGTTTACTTTAATCACTGTGTTTACACATGCTGATAATTTTCTATATGTAGAAGTTATTCAAGTAGTTTCTGGATTTCTATCAGAGAGGATTGATCCATGGGTAGCTGTATTCTTGCTGCATCCATGGGGAGGGGGAATTCTAGGAGCCTCCTATGTTGCCATCTTGGTGACATCTGTCTTCAATGCATATCTTTAGCCAAAACAGACGAGCAACCTTTCTCACCTGGACAATAGGAGAGAATTAAGTCCCACAGAGAATGATTGACACGACTGTTTTTCGCAGTATTTTCCAGGACAGTGCATATATACATTCAGTACATTTCTGAACGCATAGGAGGGAAGATAATTCATTACATCCATCAAGAATTTAGGAATCAATTCTGTTACAGAAGTCTGGATGAGAAGGGTTAGCATTCTAGGCTTGTCATTTCTTTTTAATTTTCCTAGAACTTTTAGAAGTATTCAGCCCAGTACTCCATATTAAGCAATAGAAATGTGGTCCCCAAATGCTTGCTCTCAATAGGTGCTTCATTAATGGTGAAGAGATTATTTATCTTTTCCACCAAGGTATGATATGAATAGCTGAATTTTTATCCACAAATATTTACATAATTTTCATTGGTTTCTACCTCAGTTGTATAGATAATCCTTACCTATGATCTTCCTCCTAGCTTTTCCAAAGATATACACCCTGAACACTTTATAAAGCACATGAGATCTTGGAAAGAAATATATAAAAATATTTTACAAAATATTATATACTATCATGCTAATAATACCTGAGAGGAAAGGATTATGACGATGGAGAACTGGAATTTTTATGTCACTTGGCTTCACAGCAGACCACGGGGAGCCCAGATCCATTTCCTGGTTGTTTACTCAGTTCCCAGTTGTGTGGTTTTGATCAGTGTAACTAGGGAGGACCAGAATCCACACCTTTGACTCCTAGAATTATGGAATAAACACACTGAACTAGAAGTAAAAAAGTGTCCTTCTTATCCTCAAGGAACTAGAAATTGCTACTCATACTCACACTTTCCTCCACTGCCTCCTTATTTCACTCACTTCTGATTTCAGGTCTCACAACAATGCATGGGATTGGTTGAAACTGCATCACTTATCTGCTCCCTCGGGTAATCCAGAAATAGAGTTCTCTCACTTATTTCTTTGGAAATGAAAGCCATATTTTGGGTAATTACCAAAGTATTTTTTAAAAGGCCATTAAATGGCCTGAGGAAAAAAACCACACCATTTTATCGGCCTTAACAAATTTGTTGCAAGATTATTATAAATTTAGAACAAAACATTACAAGGGACTATTGCAAGGAGGTTTGAGAATGAGTTATATTGAAGTGCCTATTCTTCCTTCTTCCAGAGATAGAAATATATGACTCTGGGAGTCAAGGTGTGGATTTGGCAACAGCTATTGTAAAAGACTTATTTTCCCTGCTCAAACAATGGATCTTTCTGATTTAGATGTTTTAAAACCCAGGAAAGAAATGTATTTTTATTAATATGATTAAGAATTCCACTGAATTGGAAGCTGTTATCTGGCCATGTGGGGATTCACATGTCCATGCCTCTGGTGTAACACATAAAAGCTCTCCAAAAAAATAGATTTACTAATACACATTGGGGGTGGTAGGATCTTATAGAACTTTTCCTTGAACCACAATGCAGCAGATCGATCACTTCTAGATGTAGTTCATTCAGGGGGGTTATAATTTGTTCACTTGGACTGAGGAACATGTGTACAAGAAATAGTTTGGAGAACTTTATTTAATATATAATTCATTTTGATTAACATAATATCTATTAAGCCAGCACTGTGCTTAGACATCTGAACTTCAATTATACAAGGTGTGGTAAAAGTAGGTTTACAGTTGTTTGTATGGAAAATAATACAATAATTAATACATAATACTACAAGAGTTTTATACAATAATACTCTGTGTTTTGCACACTCAAAATCATAAACCTACTTTTGCCCCATTCTGTATAATGGGAATTGCGAGAACAATACAAGAAAATTATATAACTGCAGTTACAAGGAGCACAATGGCACATATTTTCAAGCTAATCTAGGCTAGAATCATTTCGTATTCATCTTTGTGCTTCAAGCATTTTGGTGGGTCCTTGGAACACATCTGACTCTCTCCAATATTTTTTTAATTTAATGTAATCTGAAAAGAATAGGAGAAGCAATTCTTATGGCCAAAGTAGAGTAAAGTACCTAGTCCTCTGAGATTTGTAAATATTAGTGCTCCTAAGTGCTAGCAGTCTTGTCGAAAGAATTTTTTTCCCAATAAGAGATAATATCGGCCTACAATAATATATGTATATTTTAAATCCAGATACATTATGAAAATGCTTTAAAACTCATGGGTCAAAGCCTTGTTGTGAGAAAGACCTTTCTACTTGAGAAACTGAAAGTAGTCCACTAGCTCTGAAGTAGGCCAACTTGTTTATAACCCATTCGCTCTTGTTACAGGATTTTGTTGAGTGTAGACTTGGTTATACAAAGTGGGGCTTGAAAAACGAAAGCAAGTTCTAACTAGAAATTCTGTGTTATTCTAAAGCTATGTAAGTGTAAAAGCAAAGAGTGCCAGTTCTCCACAACTTCAAAAAGACACCCTTTACTTATTTATAATCTTGACTTTCATCAGTTATACTGACTCCATACAAGGTCATCTCTGAATGCTCAGTCCCCCCAGCCCTAGTTTAATCTTAATACTATTCATTAAGTAGGCTAAAATCAATAGCCTTGGGTATTGCAATATAGGAGAGAGTAAACGTGATTTGACTTAAATATTGGAAAAGGAAATACTTTCACCAAATTTAACTGACAATTTTTTTGTTCAGTTGCATATTGCGAAGGCATTATCAAGACTAGGTATTCCGAAAAATAACTAAATAAAATTAATTATTAAAAAAGACTAGGTATTCCTACACATATGATGAGGCAAAAATTAGGTAATTCAAAATGTTAGTTTGTTTCAGACATGGACCAATTGTTTAAAAATAAGGTCAAAGACATGGACAGAATGGGATCTAAAATACAAGTCATGGAAGAACTGTCCTTAAAGGCAGAAGGAACACAACCACCTTACATAAAAAAGAAAGAAGGAAGCAAAATGGATTGAAATATATTTTAAAATGTGTGACAGATGTGCAGTGAAATAACACGTGATGTTCTCCATAATGCAGAGTGACTTGCTTAGCTGGGCCACGAGAAGTTTGGCTCTGAAAGGGATTAATTTGTATAGTTGTGCTATTTTTTCAAAAGTAGGCCATGCTTTCTTTTAAGCGTATTATTTTTGTTCAGGGCTTTCTAGAACTGAAAAAAAATACAATAAAAATACTGCATTTATTTCTCATTGTTTGATGTGAAATAATAGGTTAGTAGTTCCTCTCTTTACTTTTTTATAAAACCTTGAAAATATCACAGGTCAATGAACAAAAGGAAACATACACCATTCAGATCTTTAAAGGCTTTCAACAAAGACCTTAGTGATTTGTTGACTTTAGAATATTTTCTAATCCCAAACAAGTGCTTTCTTATTTATACAATCTTAAGTTTATAAATGAAAATGCCTAATTTTTTAAGAGCTCAGTTATATTTTGATTTTCTTTTTAGTCCGGATGGATGGAGTTCATCGGGAAGACATTTCCCCATGCTTGTGTTGGACTATATTAATCAAATATTGTTGTACTAATTTTGCACAATTCCAGGCCAATTGGGCAGATTCCAACACATAGCAAACAACTGATCCTTTTTCCTGGAACAATGCAAATCACTGCTTTGGAACCAAGTAACTGATTCTCTCCGTGGCTTGGCATATAATCTAACCAACGAGATAAACTGTATAAACATGGGGAGGATCTCGGAGATTATGTACTTTACAATGGCCATATTTTACAAAAGCAAGTGTGAGGCTAGATCAAAGAATTTTACTCCGCTTACTCCCAATGTCTATTTCACCGCATCTGTCTTAACATTTATTTTTCACTAAGTGCCAAGGATTGTTCTAAACATCCTTAATCCTTGTAAAACGCATTTCATCCTCATAAAAACACTGTAGTTTGGTGCCGAGTTGGGTTTTTTTTTTCATTTTGAAGATGAGAAAATAGTTTTCAGGAGGTTTCAACATATCCGATATCAATCAGTCTGTAAGTGCAAGAGCTGTTAAAAAGCAGCCACAGGCTCAAAATCGCGTCACTTGTGCTAAAAACCCATGGAACTGCAACCGGGCGGCTTGGGGTCCAGCCATTTGCTGTCATGTACAAGCATAACGCAAAGATGTGGGGGGAACAAAAGAGGTTTTTATTAACAGGGTACCCAATTTGGAGGAGCTGAGAGCATTCCTACTCCTAACCAACCTCTTCTGCAAAGCACCGAAATTCCCATGTTCCCAGAGAGACTGAAATCTAAATCCACGCCCGAACTTTCCCATTATTGCTTATCTGTGTCCTTTTGAAGCTCAAGACGGCTACACAAACCGGTCTCCATCCTCAGGCTCGCTCTCTCTCTGGGGCACACCTGCAGGTTTTAGCGTCGCCATGGCCTCACCCAGTTCTCTCTTTCTCTCTCTCCTGGGTCTGGGGTGGGGTGCGCTGCCAGATCACTCCAGACAGTCACTCAGCGGAAGCTTCATCCGTGGGACCCTGGCGCCCGAGGCGGCCTGCACCCCCAGGGCAGAGGAACATTCCCAGCTCATACTTTGCTGTGTTGCTCCCAGCCTCCACATGCTGCTCTCAGGCCAAGAAACGGAAGCAGTTCGTGACCCGTGCAGTGCACAGTGTTGTAGTAGCCCAAGAGCTGGTGCGCAGCGAGGCACACCTCCCAGCATGGGATTCCACCTCTGTGCGTAGGCCTCCCACTGACCGAGGCCTAAACTCCACGTGGGCCCAGCATCTGCCAGCCCTGTGGGCACTCCGCAAACACACCCTAACAGGGCGCACAAGGCAAGCAAGACAGAGAGGTTTCTGTGCGTGTTCTGCTTTAAAGTCCCCTTCCGGAATCCCATTGCTGTGGGAGTGTCCAACTTCTCAACCAATGTGAGCCAATATCAGTCATGTTTGTCATAACTGTCTTTGTCGCTGTTCCAGCCACCATTTTGCAGAAGGGAACAGATGTTTCCCAGCTGTGCACAGGCACACAGGGTCTTGGCCACAGGGTGGGGCATCCAGCCCCTGAGGCAGCTGCTGACCTCCACCATATACGTGTATTTTGACCCTTTCAGGCGCAAGCAGCCTCAGTACAAATTCACTCTAGCTTAGTCACTAGCTACGCCGGTGCTGGGGGCCACACAAGATGTTTACCGCTGCCCTGGTCAACAGCCTTCTCCCAAAGCCCCTCCCCCGATAGGTCCCTGCAGCACTGGGGAGCAGGCTGGCTTGTTTTGTTTACAGTTGCCTCAGGCCAACTCCTCCTGCCTCCGGCACTTTTAATCTGCTGCCTGGGCGGTTCTGACCCTGCAGGGGAGTGCAGCCTCTGTGTCAAACCAGGTTCCCCACCCGCTCACTGGTTTCCCCCACTGCCCAGCATCTGGCCTCGCTACCCTGCTTCAATACTAAACCTAGATTTAATACCTGCTTTAGTTACAGTTTCAACCTTTCACAGAAATATAACCTTAAGTCAACCAGTCTGGACTTTTCTACTCAACACCAATGACATAAACTGTTACTCGGGCCATCTTCACCGCCCATTAGAAGAAGAGAAAATCTGCAAAATGGAACACTTGGCTTCCCCTCCACCCAAAAGAAGATGCCCTGGTCTAAATCCTTTGTCTTCTATTTGCTAATGGAGTCCCTCCCACTGTCTTCTTCCTCTAAAACTTTCCCTATTGTACAATACTTTCCAGTGCCCTTCCATTTGCTGCCAAGTTTATGAATGACTTAATAAAGCCAATCAGATGTTCAAATTTACTCAGTTGGATTTTGTTATTTAACAGAGCCTAGATTTGAACCCTGTCAGATTCCACAGCCCACACTTTAAACATAATATATTCCAGCTCTCTTTAATACCTTATAACTAGCAATATTTCCTAATGAATTTGCACAGATGTGAAACTACACACATTTTCATTATACCAATATAATTGTTAGTCATGTTTTACATATCTTATTTTTTAATGTTAAGAACATAAACTATAGTTACTTAATCTAGTTTAATACATATTTTATTTATCAGTTTAGATACAGCGAATCCCTTTCTAATGTCTGTACTCATGGATGCATTTATGAAATGTGGCAAACTGTTCAACACTAAATCCATTAGATATATTACCTATCAAAAATAAAAAACAATGTTCCTTCAGGAATTTATACTACAGAATTTTCTTCCTTTTCTAGTCAGTTAATACTAACAAATCTTAATTTCCAATGAATAAAATGAATAATGCATTTTTTCCCTAAGGCGTGAACAAAACCCAGCTTCTTTCTTTTCTTTGTTTTTAAAATAATAATTCCCAGTGCCTGGCATATAGCAGAAACTCAATAAATATGAAGAATTTATGAGTGAATGGAAAGGGACAAATTCATGTACACCGTTGAAATCTGAATTTTCTCCTCTGCAATTATGGTATGAACTATTTTTTTCCTAAATGGAATTAAATACTATGCACCTAAAACTCTCATTATTTGCAGACAATATTATTGTACTCTTGAAAAACTGAAAACAATCATTTAAATGTTTCTATAAAACAAGTTAGTAAAATATGAAATAAGTATTCAGCTACCAATAGTTCTCATATGAAAAATTAAATTAAATATATCCCTTATATATAATAGAAAATGACATTTTAATAATAAAAAATAAAACAACTCAGAATAAACTCAAAGTATTAAAAATTGTGTGAAGAAGGCATTAAAATATCCCTGGAGAACACAAAAGAGACTTGAAAGAAGAAACATACGTGGGAATGTATTAAATGGGAAAACTCAACATTTTATAAAGATATCAGTTTTCTTTAATCTAATGCACCACAATAAAACTGACAACAGATTTTCTTTTATCCTGGAAACAAGATGATTCTAAAATTGTTATAGAAATAGAAACATCAAGAAGTTATGAAAATTCTAAAAAGCAAAACCACTGAGGCAGTGAAAGACAAATACCATATGATCTCACCTTTAACAGGGACCTAAACAACAAAAAAAACAAGCAAGCAAAATATTACCAAAGACACTGAAATACAGAACAGGGGGGCAGTGACCAGAGGGAAGAGGGGAGGGGATTTCAGGGGAAAAGGGGGAGGATTTACAGGAACTAGTATAAAGGACACGTGGACAAAAACTAAGGTGGGTGGAAATGGGAGGGAGGTGGGGAGCACTGGGGGGGTGGGCTGGGATGGGAGAAAAAGACAGAAAACTATACTTGGACAACAATTAAATAAAAAAATAAAAATAAAACACTGGGACAAGACATGGGAATTCTGGGGCTGAGGCAGGGGAAGTACAAGATGAATTTATTCACTTAATAAATATTAATTGAACACATATTTGGTACCAGGCATTTTTTTTAAAACTGAAGATTTACATTACAAATGGCTCCCAAGAACTGAAAAAATTTTTTAAAGATTTTATTTATTTATCTTTAGAGGGGAAGGGAAGGAGAGAGGGAGAGAAACATCAATGTATGGTTGCCTTTTGTGCATCCCCTGCTGGGAACTGGCCTGCAGGGAACCGGCCTGCAACCCTGGCATGTGCCCTGAGTGGGAATCAAACCTCGATTGTCTGGTTCGCAGGCCCGTGCTCAATCCACTGAGCTACACCAGCCAGGGCGCAGGCATTTTTTTTAGGTGTTAGGAATACAAAATCTTTGCCCTCATTTTAGTGGGAAATTAACGTTATATATTTATATTTAACACACATTTAATATATTTCCATGTATACTAATATATTATGAATATCATATATGTATATGATATTTATATATTAGTATATTAGTATATATACTTTGTCTTAAGGGGAATAAATGACTTTAGAAAACTAAAGCAAAGAATGCAATTTGAAATAAGGAGGGAAGACAAAACCTCAACTTCATGTTTGCTTTTCCAATTTTATTTAGAGAAACAAATCCAGGCCCCAGCACTGCCATACCCTCTTCCACTCCAGCCATGATTAAATAACTTGGACACAGAGTTAGGGGTCCGGTCAGGTTCGGGTGGGAAAGGAGAGGAACCCAGTATGGCCACTGCAGCGTTGCCTCTCATATTTTCCTTGCCCAGCATGCTTCTTGTCCATGGTGCCCTCAGCTCCTCCCAGGCACCGAGGGGCCACGGGGAGGGGCCACGGGGAGGGTGGAGGAGGCTTCCTTCCCCACAGGCCCCCGTGGATCCCGGGGTTCAGCCATACCTCGGGGAGAGGCACTCCCAGCAGTTTCCCAGTGCAGACGACTCGCTCCCTGGTGAAGGACAGACTCAAGGTTAGGGTAGATAAGCAGGCATTTGGTGGTCAGCAACACATGCTGGATTCCTGATTCAGTTGTCCAGTCCCTCTGGATCATGTAGACCCAGATCTCACCTTTGGCGTCCACATTCTGGTAGAACTTGGTCAGGAAGTAGTCCGTGGGCAGGGGGCCCGAAAGTCTTTCCCTAGAAGGAGTTCCATGCCCAGCAGGGCTCTGGTCTATGGAGTCCCCTCAAGGCCCTCAATGGCGACCTACTTACTAGGCAGTAAGGTCGTCCTCAATGAGAAAGGCCTTGGTGACCCCAGGAGGGTCAGCAGTCAATGTCATCAACCCCTTGTACACCAGATGAATGACATAGGGATACAGGTTCTCCGTGGTGAATAGTTAACATTTGAGAAAAACTTAAAGCTGATGAGGGTGTGAACCATAAAGATTTATGGAAAGAACATTCCATGAGAAGGTCTTGAAGCATATACATCATACTTAAAGTTCTCAAGATTCCTCTTCATCTCATGAGAGGTAAAGAAGAAATTCTGGTATTTCCAGGTTCTAGGTATGTAATGAAGGAAGCTGGTTTTAACACAAGTTTTCCCAAGAGTGTCTTGGAACACATGTATATACTTCTTTGTAATTCCAGGGAATACTATAGTGAGAATTGATAGGAACAGTCGACTACCAAGAGGGCATGGATGAGTCTCCATAGCTGAGCAGACCTACTTTCTCTAAGAGTTTTAAATCAATAAAAGTTTAATTTATTTCATACATCAATCTAGACTCACTTACTGCATGCCCACTACATTTCAGGCATCCTACACTTCCCTGGAAAATCCTTGTGAACAACCAGTTTCTGTCCATAGAGAAGACAGAACACAGCACACACTGGCTGAGTGAATATATTCAATAGACATATCCATTTCTTCTCTAAAGCAAAATATACATATTCTACAGCGCAACCACTGAAGATAAAACACTAATAATAATTTGAAATGTTTCAGCCAACTGAACTAGATGCAAGGCTTAGAGTGTTTCTCATGCAATGTGCTTAGTGCCCTTTTGTTCGAACATTGTCAGACAGAATACATGCAACCAGCTCATGTCGTTAAGAGACAAATATTCTATGAATAACTTAAAACATACAGGTCTAAAGAGAGAAAAGAATGAGAAGCATACATATTAAGGTATGGAAAGGTTAAATTATATAAAATATTTGGACTGCATAAAGTGTTTGATGAAGCATTTCATACAGAAAAAATTTCAAATTATTTCAAACTTTCATTATTTTCAAAAAAGACAAATTATTTCTTAAATTACTTCAATTTTAAAGAACAAAACATTTAGAGTGTGTTTGACTTCTTGAAATATATTTAAAAGTGCTACACATTTGGCAATGAGTTTTAGAACTGAAGGTAAATTTAGAGATTATCTTGTTCTTAATGCTCGTTTTATAAAGGGAACAAAATTTAGAAATCTGAAGTAGGTTGGCTAAGCAGTGGTGAACTAGAAAGAAAGGACAGATGGCTTAATTATTAATCTGGCCTTTTTTTATGTGTACAAATTACCTAAGAATATTGGTAAAATGCAGATTCTGATTCAACAGATCTGGGAGGGGAGATGATGCTGAATTTCTAACAAACAGTCGATACTGCTGATCTAGGGCCTACGATTTCAGTAGAAAGGTTTTACACCATCCGGACTGAGGTCAGTTTGTACAAACAAAATAATACTAGACATTATTCTGGCTTCAAGTGGCTCTCGATGGTAGTTGCCAGCGATGATCCATGAAGTACATCACCGGTATTAACTTTGAAATTTGTGCCATACAAATAAAAAACTTCTTTTACAATTTCATGAAAATATACTTTTTTTAAAAGA